CCTCGTGACCTTTGCCCTGGGTGCACGGCCGCCTCCTGGGGGTCTCTCCCGCCTCTGGCTCCCGGCGCTGCCCTCACTGTCCTGGTACTTCGAGGCCTCTCTGTCCGCTGGCGTGTCCCCGGTGAGGCCTCTGTGATCGGGTGTGTGTGGCCTGGAGCAGAGTGGAGCTGTCCCTCTGGCCGGCTTTGTCCGCGAGTGGACATCTGCCTGAGCCCCTGGTCCCCGTCCAGGTGGCCTCACACCTGGCAGGCTCTCCCTGGTGGACCCTGCTGGGTCCGGCCCTGTCCTTCAGCCCGAGGGCCAGGCAGCTGGGGACTTGCTGCTGTGGCTGGAAATAGTGGCCATGGGAGTGGCCACCAGGCATGGAGGGTCCTGCTCACAGTCCAGACCCTGCCTTTGGGAGGCTGTGTGGCTTCCGAGACACAGGCCACCCCTCTGGGCCTCCGTTCCCTCCCCATCAGTTGGACTAACCAGATGCTCTGTCGCGCCTTGTGGTCCTCCGGCCTCGCACGTGACGTCCGGCTGGTGGACGGGACACGTGCTGCGTGTGATGTCAGGGATGGGCTCTCGCCTGGGTTGTAAAGCAGAGTCCCGCGGACCCACACCGCCCTGGTCGCCCTCCGCCATGTGCCGTCCACATCGCACCATCACCTCCCAACACGGAGGGCGAGCGGCGTTCCCCCAGCTCCGCAGTTCAGGGCGGAGAGGCCTGGAAAGACCAGGACCACGTGTGAGGCTCACGGCAGCCCTGGGCCCTGGACCTGGCTCCCCTGGACTGGCCGGACCCACGGGGCTGTGGAGCCCTCTGCTTGCTTTCACAGGAAGCCGTGCTCAGAGGTCTCAGTGAGCTGGCCGTTCCTTTGCAATGACCGTTTGCCCTGCTCTGTTTCAGGGCCGAGCTGGCAGCGACGGAGCAAGAGGGATGCCCGGGCAGACGGGCCCCAAGGTAGGCTGCTGCTGGCCACCTCCCAGTGCCGGCACCGCGGTCAGCGTGGTCACTGTCGTCAACACGTGGTCACGGGACGAACATGCCGTGATGACGAGTGATGACGTGGGGAATCTGCGCTCGTCGGGGGAGGGCCTGGGGGAGGGTCAGCTTGGACCAGTCCGACGGGCGCGTTGCCATGAAGACGGGGCTGGGGCGAACTTCCCGAGCGGCTCCTGTGTGCAGTGGACACGGAGCTCAGGTGTGCGCGCGCGTAGAGCCTGTCCGGTGCACCTGCCGGCGCCCAGCGAGACCCCGCCCCCGGCTGCCGTGCTTCTGTGTGGCCATCCCTCCGGGCCCGAGTCTGGGATGAAACATCCCCCACTCTCGGCCCACCCTTCTTCGCAGCCCTCGAAGGGCCTGTCCACGGCCACGCGCGGTGCTGGAGCCCGTGGTGGGGACAGCAGTGTTCCTGCAGGGGAGTGGGTTGGGGGGCCCCCACCTGCCAGGGGTGCACTATACCTGCTCACCTGGAAACTGGCGTGGCAGAGCCCTCTGGTGCTCCCGTGAGTCCTGAGCTGACAAGAGGCCCTGGTCTTCAGGGACCTGCACTGACAGAGGAGAAAACTCCTGAGTCTGTCCCCGCTGATTATGGTCTTTCAATGACAAACCTACTGCAGCCTGAACTGGCCTGCTCCTGACTTCACCCCACATAGCTTGCAACATCCACGAGGCTGGGCACTGGGCCTGGGCTCCAGGAGGCAGCCTGGGGGCGGAAGGAGGGCTGGCAGAGCGCCCGAGGGCCAGCGGTGCTGGGCCACGTGCCAGATGCAGACAAGCACCTGCTCGGTACAAGCAGCGCTCCAGGCCCCGAGGGCTTCATGATGAGCAAGACAGGTTGACAGCAAGCATGCACGTGTGCGCACACAGACACATGCACACGCAGACATGTGCACACAGAGACACATATGCGTGCACACACTTGTGCAGACGCACAGAGACATGTGCACACACGTGCACACAGACACGTGTGTGCACACACGTATGCATGCACACAGAGACATGTGCACACACTCAATAGCCGTCACCCGAAACACTGCGGTCTCAGCACATCCAGGCCTGCTGTCTGTGGCTCTGGGACAGAAGCCACCCCTCTGTCTGCAGCCTCTGCTGGCGTTTGGGGGAAAAGGGATGGGAATACGGACCCAAGGGCAGGGAATGTGCCATGAGGGGGTGACCAGCAGCATCACCGTGGGGCCCGGGTTCACAGACGCTGCCTGGACGGCAGCCCAAGGCGAGGCAGCTGGCTGCATGCAGCATGGGCTGAGCTGCCCTCTATCCTCCTTGCAGGGTGACCGTGGCTTCGACGGCCTGGCTGGACTGCCCGGGGAGAAGGGCCACCGGGTGAGTGTCTCAGGTCCTGTCTGGAGGAGTTTCTCGGGTGGCCCTTCTGGGCAGCCTTAGGGCTCCTGTGGTGTTGGGTCTCTGCTAAACCAGCCTCCTGGGGGTGAGAGAGTGGACGTGGACCCGGGCGAGATGCCCCTAGGGGTGGAAGGTCAGCCCGGTCCGAGCTGATTTCTCACCTGCAGCCAGTCCGTCCATCGATGGGACACGGCAAGGGATGAGGTGCCCCCTGGGGAAACCTGCCCTGTTAGGGGACCCCCCCACACCTTAGGAAACCCAATGACTGCCATGTTGGGAGCCGCCGAGGACCTCTCACCCTCTAAAGGGGTGAAGACAGCAGGCAGGGCGGTCCCACGTGGCCGCCCTGAGGACGGGGCCGGGGTGTGCGCTGCGGCCCGGGTGGGGCTGCCTGCTGTCTCGCCCGGTTTGTGGGGTCGCCACGGGAGGCTCTGCGCAGCTCCTCGGGCGTTTCCCCCCTTACCTTTGGTGGAGATGGTGCCTCTTCCATGTTTTGGCACGTCTTGAACCCGGGGGCACACACACGTGCACACACATGTGCACACATGCGCACACACACGGGCCTGTCGACGTTGTCAGCAGGGCTCAGCGGCGCATCGTGATGCACTGGAAAGTGCCTGTTGTGATTTGGCCAAAGCTGCTTCGCCGCGTTCTCAGCGGCCACATGGAAACCAGGGGCAGCACAGACCCCTCTCAGGGCCCGTCTGTTTCCCTGGCCGCTGAGCACGTACTGAGCACCGACTATGTGCCAGGCCTGAGGCTGCAGGGCAGTGGCCGTTTCAGGGATGGCGCCGGGCTGGGGTGCGCCCCTGTTTCACGGAGAAGTTGGCAGGTTTGTGTCCGAGGGCACCCGCGTGTCCCCGGGTGCTGGTCTAGCAAACCCACCTGCAGAACACCTAGTCCCCGGGGGTGAGTCCTTGCAGCCACCTGTGCGCCCCATCACGTCAGCCGGCCCCGCCTCCGAAGGGTCCTCTGTGGCTCCGGGAAAGCCCTGGGAGGTGGCGTTGGGTTTCCAGTCTCGAAGGCAGAGAAGGATGAAGTGGGGGCTTGAGACCCACGCGTGCCTTCCTGGGCGGCTAACACTGACCTGCGTGGCTTCCTAGGGTGACCCCGGTCCTTCTGGCCCGCCGGGACTTCCAGGAGACGACGGAGAAAGGGTAGGTGTCTCGCTGTGTGTTGGCCACACCTGCCGCCCGACTCCTCAGTGAAAACTCCGCAAGATGCTGGGGGCAGCGACTGGCGGCCCGGGTGCGGAGAGTGGGCGGGGAAGAGGGCGCAGGGAGGGAGCCGCGGGAGTGGAGAGGCAGACGTTGACCTTGGCTGGCGTGCGGCGTCTGGGGGGCGCTCTCCCCTGCCACGGGTCTCGGAAAGAGCTCCCGCAGCTCCAGGGGACGGGTGCCCCGGACAGCGCTCGGAAGGGGGCCAGGGAGCTGCTGAGCTCATGTCCCAGGGGCTGGGCTCAGGGGCTTGGTGGGGGGAGTGAGGTGGAGACAGCCCAGAAGACAACTGCCTTTGGCCCCGGAGCTGGGGGCAGAGCGAGGGGGCGGCCACCGTCTGAGGCCGGGGCCTGGGCTGGAGGCGGGCGCTCGGACGCGCTCTGCCCTGAGTCCCGATCTTCTCAGGTGAGTCTTGGTGGCGGCCGCGGGCTGAGCGCTGTCTGTAGGCTAAGTCG